CCTGGGCTTGGTTACTTGCTGGGTATGCTGGCGATTTACGTGCTTTCTTCTGTGCCATGGGGCTGGGCCCCCGTCCGCGCAGGGGCTCAGTGATGGTCAGCCTCGCGGACCTCAAGCGCAGCTGACCGCTTGAGGCGCCGCGGCCAGCCCCGGGCAGGAGCCAGTCTAGTGGTGCTGCCGCACTTGCACCGAGCGGGGAAGGCTGGGGAGCAGTTTCCCGCCCTCCTTTGGCCTTGTGGCGCTCCGGTCCCCCACCACCCCGCCTGCCCTGTCCTCGCGGCACTGGCCCAGGCACGGCCCCTCCCTCTCGGGGCGCGCCAGGCCTGGCCAGGTGCTCACGGTGCGCCCCCCCAGCTCTGGACGTGGCTGGAGGAGCTGCAGAAGGAGCTGCTGGACGATGTGTACGCCGAGTCGGTGGAGGCCGTGCAGGACCTCATCAAGCGCTTCGGCCAGCAGCAGCAGACCACCCTGCAGGTGACCGTGAACGTGATCAAGGAGGGCGAGGACCTCATCCAGCAGCTGAGGTGGGTGCCCGGCGCCGGCCCCTCGTCCGCGCCTGCAGGGCGAGCACCCCCGCGCCTCCTCTCTTCCCCCCGCCGTTCCCCTTAGACGCGTGAGCGTTCGCCCTCCAGCTTGCCGAGTCAGGCCCCCCACCCCGTGGCAGGTGTCCCACCCCTCAGTAGAGTCCATGTCGGGTCAGGCCAGGGTGCTGGGGGCAGTTCCTCTCTTTGGGGCACCCGGCTGTTTCCATATGTGGGATCCCCCGAGGCACCTCCCGTCGGTCCTGATGGACCCCACGGGCGGTCGCAGCCACAAGCTGGAGTTCCCGGGGAAAGGCTTAATTAAAAGCTGTTTGCTTGCAATTCAACCCCTCGTCCCCACTGAGCTGGTTGGCACTAAATGGGCATCGCTGTCGGCGTAGAGAAGCGGCCAGAGCCGACTCCTGGGCGGTGGCCTGTCATCTCCGGGCTCCTTGTCAGAGGCTGGGCTGGCGGGGCTCGGGAGCTGGCCCGGCGGAAGAGGGCGCCGGCTGGGGCGCGCGCTGACCCCCGCTGTCTGCAGGGACTCGGCCATCTCCAGCAACAAGACGCCGCACAACAGCTCCATCAGCCACATCGAGACGGTGCTGCAGCAGCTGGACGAGGCGCAGGCGCAGATGGAGGAGCTCTTCCAGGAGCGCAAGATCAAGCTGGAGCTCTTCCTGCAGCTGCGCATCTTCGAGCGCGACGCCATCGACGTGAGTGCCCGGCCCCCGGCCCGGCGGCGGGGTCTGCCCAGCTCTCGTCCCTGGGGCGGCGGGGCGGGCCTCGTGGACCCGGCCGGAGAGTGGGGCAGGGCAGAGCTGCCGAGGCCGGGCCTCTGTGCAGGGTCCTGTCCTGAAGCCC